ATATAGCAATGACCCAGTAGGCATTTGGAAATGCTGTGTTTGAAACTGGTGAAATTTTGCAGATGAGACTATGGCTTTGGATCCCTAGTCTTTTGATTTAGAACAAGGGTCTCCAATCCCCAACCGGTACCGGTCCACGGCCTGTTAAGAACCGGGCCGCACAGCAGGAGGTGAGCGGCAGGGAGAGTGAGCGAAGCTTCATCTGCCACTCCTCATCGGTCTCATTACCGCCTGAACCATCCTCCGCTCCATCCATGGAAAAATTGTCTTCCCTGAAACCGGTCCCTGGTGCCAAAAAGGTTGGGGACTGCTGGATTAGAAGTAATAGCGAATGCCACAAGAACAGAGAAATTGGACTTCCCTGGTGGCACAGTGGGCTCTGGTCCGGGAAGATCCCACATGCCGCGAAGCAACTAAGCCCGCGTGCCACAACTACTGAGCCTGTGCTCCAGAGCCCGTGAGCCACAACTACTGAGCCTGCGTGCCACAACTACTGAAGCCCACGCACCTAGAGCCCATGCTCCACAACAAGAGAAGCCACCACAATGAGAAACCCGCGCACCGCAATGAAGTGTAGCCCCCGCTCGCCGCAACTAGAGAAAGCCCGCGTGCAGCAACAAAGACCCAACTCAGACCAAAATAATTAATGAATTAATTAATAAAAGAAAGAATAGGAAAATTCCCCCGAGAGTGTTAATATGAAGAACATATCAGGGAGCCACAGACAGCTAGGAGGTGCACTGAATGAGATGCAGGAGAAAAAGGGAGGAAGAGGAAGCAGCGTGTATATGTGTAGGAGAGATGGGGAGACGCAGACAGAGAAAGAGGCAGAGAGAAAGACAAAGAGAGGGAAACAGAGAGACAGAGAGAGAAAGAGAAGAGACTGTCACTGAACTCCAGGGAGGTGACTCCAGGGAGGGAGGAAGGAACATACAGAAGGTCAAAGAGCATGAATGTCTTGAGTACCTAAAGCTGGTCAGCTCCAGCCTCCTGAGGTACAATAAAAGGTTCTTGATAAAGGGCAAACATTACCCTTTTTTGCTGAGAGTCGGACATCTTTCATTTGGAGGATAAAGAACTGAAAGATCATGTTTCTACAAGAAACTTAATCTGCATAATCTATCTTTGATAGTCTTTTTTAAAACATCTGCTTCCCTAATGGTACAAATTTGGAACTGCATCATACCTGCAAATTGATTTTTTAATAATAAATTTGGTCCTAGTCATCTAAATTTCATCTGCAATTGTGATAAATTGTAAAGGAATGCATTAAGGGATTTATTTCTCTCACGTTTTCTTCTCACGTGACAGGAGCAAAGAAGACATTTTTAATCAACTCAACCTTCCTACCAAAGGACAATATATTCTGGTTAACTTTCATATCCATCAGAGGCACAGGGCTTTTCGGACGTAGGTAGAGGTTTATAAGCATAAAATTGAGAACAATTAGCACTCAAATTAATGTTACATGAGATTCAACATCTGGTAAGTGTGTCATCATTTTGGGTCATAGACCACTTGCTAGGCTAAATGTTCATACAACTGCAATTTACTCTGCATACAAATGGAATAAAAATGATACTTTAAAAATATTTTTAACTTAACAGTATGTACGTAGGGACCTCTCTCATTTCAAAACTTTTACTAGAATTCAACAGCGGATTGAACAGGATGAAACATACAGCATCAAAAGGAACAGAAAATACATTTTTGCAAGTATATTTCATAACAAATTAGCTATAGTGCTAATATTAGTTTCTCTAGTTCATCTAACCACTGTCACTATTAATACAGGTCTCCTCTTTATCCATCAAATATTTAAGAGCAGGAAGAGGTCAACCTCTCAAAGTCTTTGTGCTATTTATATAACAGAGCCCTCAAACATCGGCTGCTTCTGGCAATAGAGGGGCATCAGAAAATGCCAGATCTCAAGATGCCTCCTGCAACTCACCACAAACACCAGCCCATGCACAGCACACCGTAAACTATTCTGAACCTCAGGACTCCGGGGCCTCCAAGAGCACTTTAATGTACACCTTAAAGTCCTAGAGGTGTCCTGCAGGGAACCCTCTCTGAGCTGGAAGCAGGTGCTGGCAGGAGGCTTCAGGGTACCTGGGATCCAGCGGCTTCTATGTCAACAAGCTACATATACTACGGGTCTGTGGGGAAGTCAGAGCATCCATAAAGCCTACCCACATCCATTCAGGGGGCCTCTGGGCATCCAGAGTTACCCAGAAAGCCAAGGCTCTCCCCAGAGGATGGCCCCAGACTTCACCACCAGCATGGCCAGGAGCGCTGAGGCCTTCTAGGTCAGGGAGCAAAACCAGGTTAAAGAGCAAACCATAGCCAGGGAACACATACCTTCTCCTGCCCTCCACCTCCAGAGTATGCTAATTCCTGAAAATACTGACAATCTAGACATGCCAGCATCTTAGAGAGTGCTAAAGAATAACCACAATCAAAAAAAAAACGTTATGACCATTTATCAGGAGAATGAGCTAGTGTCCATTTTACTTTTACTTAATTGCCTTTTCACATGATCCGGTTATTGGCAACTTCAGTAAAACTGGTAAACTCTTGGTTGGGTGTGTCTGTATCTGCAGATTTCAAAAGCAAAGAAACTTTCTGCACTCTTGAGATGGAGATGCAGAAATCACATTTTACCTTGTTTATAGAAATGAGCCATCCTTTTAAAAAGAGGCAAACACCAACTAAAGAAGCATCTAATACTAGAATCTGCTTTTAAAGTGCCTAAAAGCTACGCTATCAATTCTAGGAACCCCTGAGCCTTTGTTGTACTTTTCTAGATAGAGTAAGGAAGTGTTCTATCTAGAATTGTGTCTGTTAAAACCATCTATGTATTGACATTGCCCTGCTTCTGTAACATGCTTCCCACTGACTGTCAGAGTGATAATCACTGTCGTAGGATCGTTCTGAGAGTTAAGCCCTGTGCTTCAACGTTCAGCAGCCTGACTCTCAATTCTGGTCCCTCCATTTGCTGTGTCGGGCAAGTTTGTAATTTCTTGAAGTTCCAGTTTGATCATCCGTCAGGTGGTCATAATAATGTGTCCTGCTCTACACTGTTGTTGAATGAGAAAGATAATCCTGATAATGTGTATGGCACAGAAGAAGTGTCACATAAATGTTAACCCTCAATAATATTTAGTGGTTACCAGATCCTGTCACCAAAGACTAAATCATGTTTAATATATTTTTGTTCGGTGCTTGTGTTTAAAAGATATTTTGTAATATTTTCTTTTAATTATCAGCATACCTGTTAACTCTCTGTTTGACAGCCGTATGCTATTTACTTAACCAAAATGTGCCAAATAGCTTACTGCAGTGTTTTCCAAGCCGTGCTTTGAAAACTTGGGATTCTGTGGAGGGGTTCAAGGTGGCTATTGTGTGTGGGGTATACAGAATGGGCTACAGTGATGAGAATGAGTGGTCAGTGATCCAGGCTTCAAATGGAACAGCTCTACCTTTACCAACTTTGAATATTGGGCTTCTCAGTAAATTTTAGTTTGAACAAAGGGTTCTGCAGCTAAAAATCAGAGGGGGCAAGTCAGAGAGGGTGGATAAAAACACTCATGGTTTACTGTGTCTATTATTTCTTAAAGAAATACTACAGATAGCAAAGACTGTATTTGAAACACTGCCATTTGAGTTCTGACTCTAGATTAAAAATTGGCATTTAAATCATGATTCAAGGATATTTGGAATTTCATCTTTTTCCCTTTCTGGCAGTGTTAAATAGGGAGGGCTCATTAAACCCTCTGTTCATCATCCTTCATTTGAGAAGTCTATTGTAATAAACCAAAGCATTATTACGCAGAATGAAAATGAATGAAGTAAATCTGGCCTCCAAGACCCCATGGCTGACATCTGTCCCTGTCCCAAAAGTCATCCAAAGTCAAGCAAGCCTAAAGCAGAGTGCAGTGGTTACGCCCACGGTCTCTGGAGTCAGACTGCCCAGGTGTGAATCCTGCCTTGTCCACTTATATGCGTGTTTCCAGACAAGTCACTGCCCATCTGTGTACCTCAACCTCCCGGTTATTTGTAAAATGAGGACAAAAGCACCAATTATGTGAATGTATCATGAGGATTTAAAGAGAATGCACACAAAACAAACATGATTACCAAAGGGGAAAGGGAAGGAAGGGAGGGATAAATTAGGAGCATGGGATTAACAGATATAAACTATTATACATAAAATAGATAAGCCACAAAGATTTACTGTATAGCACATGGAACTATTTTCAGTATCTTGTGATAACCTATGATGGAAAATAATCTGAAAAAAATATATATATATATATATAATTGAACCACTTTTTGTACACCTGAAACACAATATTGTAAATCAACTATGTCAATAAAAAAATTTTTAACAGAATGCACACAAAATGTTTAGCACAAGGGAAGGTAGAAAATAAGTACTAAGTAAATATTAGCTCTTCTAGTCATTAAGAACAGTTTGTTTTAGAACCATTTTCTTGACGCATGAGTTATTTCCAAGTCTAATTACAAAAGTTAGTACATTTATCATTTAAAATTTCCTTCAACTATAGGACGGAGAGCAACTAAATTAATTAGCCTTATATTTTAATTCTTACTTGGTAATTTTTCTCTTTCCTTTCATATAACATTATTTTCTTAAACAAACTGTGGACAGAAAAATCAAATTCTCTTGAAAGGTGTCACACAGAAAAATATTAAGCCTGCAACCTGGTCCTGAATTTTGTATTATTTTGAATATGGGGAAAGAGGAACACATAACCTAGCCATATTCTATTGCTATACTTTGTGTATGTTTATATTTTAATAAAAATATGAAGGATAAAGTATGATTTTGATATATCATCTATTTGACCTTTTGATGCACATACTTTTACTTTGTATCTTTAATTTTTTCCGAGTATAATTCTTGAAATCTGGGGGGGAAACACCCTGAAAACAAGAAAATGATAAATTCTTTAGTTTTTTCTGTCATATTTCAGACCTTCAAGGACTCCACGTGTTGCCTCAGACAGCTGACTGGTCATCTTTTCCTCCTCAACAGTATCTCTTGACTCTTGGGTTCAAAAACAAAGAAGATGGGAAGTTTTTGGAAAAAGTATCATGTAGGAAGTTACCAACATTTACAGGTAAGTCACCTGGACTTGTTATCTTTCAATACTGTTTTAAATTAGGAATTGTGCATTATTCATTAAGCTTTATTCATCACAAGCCTAGCATATAGTAAGGCCTGGGCACCAAAATGTTTGTTGGGTCATACTTAACTCCTTCCGATCTTCTTTGTGGGTTAGTTAACAATACCTGGAATTCTGGTTCCCCCAAGAGTGCCCACCTCCCTCACTCTAACCATCTCACTGCAACCACATCACCACCCATGCCTGATCATGGGGCACTCAAAGATTACAAGCTTTTGTCATCACCCACCAGCAAACACAGAAGAAAATCGTGCAACAAAACTATTGTATGAAATCAAACATATAGCCAATGACCACCTTAAATCACTTGGATCATCTGCCATTGTATTAATATCTGTTCTACTCTTTTCTTATGTAATTAACCAAGATCTCAGATCTCCTGAAGAGTATTATAGTTAAATGGTGCTCAGCAATTCTAGTTGAAACTTTCAAAAATCAAGTAAACATTCAGGTGAAGTCTCATACTTATGGGCTGAATTCATGACCAGGCTGAATTTATCCCTTCAGCTCTACCCACATAATTAAGGATTTGTGTTTTGTCTGGCACTCTGTCCTCTGAAGCTTATCTCAGCTTCGAGCTACATTCAAAGTCAGTGCAATCTGCACACTTGAATAATACCTGGGAGGAACAAGACAAGAATCAGACACATTTATGATGACATTTTTTTCACAACTCAGGAAAAGCATATTCTGCAGAGAGAGGTGAATTGTCATAGGCTGTCCCGTGGATCTCTCAATCAAGAAACACAACAAAAGGAATAAATGATAGTCTCTAAAGGGCAATGTCTCCTCATAGATCTTTCACTGTTATACTTCTGGTCTTTGAGATGGGACTCATTTCTATACTAAAGATTTCATATCTATTAATATTGAGGTATCTGTTTATAGCTTGCTAAGGAAAGCATTTTGAAATGGAAGTCTGGGGGAAAAAAGTATAAAAGTTTATTGTTACAATTTTTAGAACATAAAACTCCCTTCGGTCTGCTGACAAGAGAAGACACAGTGAGACACATGCAGAGAATGGGGAAGCGAATCTTGCCAATACTGGATTTTATTAGAAGCACCCAATCGAATGTAGGTATATAAGTCTTTTATATTTTTTCAACATATAAATATCAGACAATCCTAGAAGTATGGAAAGTTTATGGTGTAAATATTGCAAGTGTCGGACGATTTTAGAAACTTTCACAGTCAACCTTCTTTGCAAAACCAAGCAAAGTTTAGCTAATGATTTTATTCCTTTTATATTTTAAAATATATTAATCATAAAGTTACACTTCGCAATTTCCAGCATTTCTCAGGCTAGAGCCTTTTCTTTGTGGCTTCCTGATATCTAAATGAAGGCTGAATTGAATCTCTTGCTTCAAATCAGTAACTAAATTTTAGTGAACACAGTGCTTTCCCTATTTCATACATTTGGCTACTGCATATAACCATTTTGTTGCCTACATAAGAATTCAGAACACTGAAAGCTAGCTCCTCCACATTAACTGATACACTGGATGCTACTCTAAACATTGGCAATTGATCTTTTTTGTTGGTAACATCTTTACTGCAGTATAACTGCTTTATAATGTTGTGTTAGTTTCTGTTGTATAAAAAAGTGAACCAGCTATATGCATACATATATCCCCATATCCCCTCCCTGTTGCGTCTCCCTCCCACCCTCCCTATCCCACCCCTTTAGTTGATCACAAAGCACCAAGCTGATCTCCCTCTTGCTATGCAGCTCCTCCCCACTAGCTATCTATTTTACATTTGGTAGTGTGTATATGTCAATGCCACTCTCTCACTTCATCCCAGCTTACCCTTCCCCCTCCCCGTGTCCTCAAGACCATTCTCTACATCTGCATCTTTATTCCTGTCCTGCCCCTAGGTTCATCAAAACCTTTTTTTTTTTTTCACATTCCATATATATGTGTTAGCATAGGGTATTTGTTTTTCTCTTTCTGACATACTTCCCTCTGTATGACAGACTCTAGGTCCATCCACCTCACTACAAATAACTAAATTTCATTTCTTTTTATGGCTGAGTAATATTCCATTGTATATATGTGCCACATCTTCTTTATCCACTGATCTGTTGATGGACACTTAGGCTACTTCCCTGTCCTGGCTATTGTAAACAGTGCTGCAATGAACACTGTGGTACATGACTCTTTGAATTACCATTTTCTCAGGGTATATGCCCAGTAGTGGGATGGCTGGGTAATATGGTACTTCTATTTTTACTTTTTTAAGGAAGTTCCATACTGTTCTCCAAGGTGGCTGTATCAATTTACATTCCCAACAACAGTGCAAGAGGATTCCCTTTTCTCCACACCCACTCCAGCATTTAGTGTTTGTAGATTTTTTCATGATGGCCATTCTGACTGGTGTGAGGTGATACCTCACTGTACTTTTGATTTGCGTTTCTCTAATAATTAGTGATGTTGAGCATTCTTTCACGTGTTTGTTGGCTGTATCTGTATATCTTCTTTGAAGAAATATCTATTTAGGTCTTCTGCCCATTTTTGGATTGGGTTGTTTGTTTTCTTCCTATTGAGCTGCATGAGCTGCTTGTATATTTTGGAGATTAATCCTTTGTGAGTTGCTTCATTTGCCAATACTTTATCCCATTCTGAGGGTTGTCTTTTGTCTTGTTTATGGTTTCCTTTGCTGTACAAAAGCTTTTAAGTTTAATTGGGTCCCATTTTTAAATTTTTGTTCTTATTTCCATTTCTCTAGGAGGTGGGTCAAAAAGGATCTTGCTGTGATTTATGTCATAGAGTGTTCGGCCTATATTTTCCTCTAAGAGGTTGATAGTGCCTGGCCTTACATTTAGGTCTTTAATCCATTTTGAGTTTATTTCTGTGTATGGTGTTAGGAAGTGTTCTAATTTCATTCTTTTCCAGGTAGCTGTCCAGTTTTCCCAGCACCACTTATTGAAGAGGCTGTCTTTTCTCCATTGTATACTCTTGCCTCCTTTATCAAACATAAGGTGACCATATGTGCAAGGGTTTATCTCTGGGCTTTCTATCCTATTCCAATGATCTATATTTCTGTTTTTGTGCCACTACCATACTGTCTTGATTATTATAGCTTTGTAGTATAGTCTGAAGTCAGGGAGCCTGATTCCTCCAGCTCTGTTTTTCTTTCTCAAGATTGCTTTGGCTATTCGGGGTCTTTTGTGTTTCCGTACAAATTGTGAAATTTTTGGTTCTAGTTCTATGAAAAATGCCATTGATAGTTTGATAGGGATTGCATTGAATCTGTAGATAGCTTTGGGTAGTACAGTCATTTTCACAATGTTGATTCTTCCAATCCAAGAACATGGTATATCTCTCCATCTGTTTGTATCATCTTTAATTTCTTTCATCAGTGTCTTATAGTATTCTGCATACAGGTCTTCTGTCTCCTTAGGTAGGTTTGTTCCTAGGTATTTTATTCTTTTTGTTGCAATGGTAAATGGGAGTGTTTCCATAATTTCTCTTTCAGATTTTTCATCATTAGTGTATAGGAATGCAAGACATTTCTGTGCATTATTTTTGTATCCTGCTACTCTACCAAATTCACTGATTAGCTCTAGTAGTTTCCTGGTAGCATCTTTAGGATCCTCTATGTACAGTATCATGTCATCTGCAAATAGTGACAGTTTTACTTCTGCTTTTCCAATTTGTATTCCTTTTATTTCTTTTTTTTCTCTGATTGCTGTGCCTGAAGCTTCCAAAACTATGTTGAATAACAGTGGTGAGAGTGGACAACCTTGTCTTATTCCTGATCTTAGAGGTAATGGTTTCAGTTTTTCACCATTGTAAACGATGTTGGCTGTGGGTTTGTCATATATGGCTTTTATTATGTTGAGGTAGGTTCCCTCTATGCCTACTTTCTGAAGAGTTTTTATCATAAATGTGTGTTGAATTTTGTAAAATGCTTTTTCTGCATCTATTGAGATGATCATATGTTTTTTCTCCTTCAGTTCATTAATACGGTTTATCACATTGACCGATTTGCATATATTGAAGAATCCTTGCATTCCTGGGATAAACCCCACTTGATCGTGGTGTATGAGCCTTTTAATGTGCTGTTGGATTCCACTTGCTAGTAATTTTTTTTTTTTTTTGCGGTACGCAGGCCTCTCACTGTTGTGGCCTCTCCCGTTGCAGAGCACAGGCTCCAGACGCGCAGGCTCAGCAGCCATGCTCACGGGCCCAGCCGCTCCGCGGCATGTGGGATCTTCCCGGACCGGGGCACGAACCCGTGTCCCCTGCATCAGCAGGCAGACTCTCAACCACTGCACCACCAGGAAAGCCCCGTTTGCTAATATTTTGTTGAGGATTTTTGCATCTATGTTCATCAGTGATATTGCCCTGTAGTTTTCTTTCTTTGTGACATCTTTGTCTGGTTTTGGCATCAGGGTGGTGGTGGCCTTGTAGAATGAGTTTGGGAGTGCTCCTCCCTCTGCTATATTTTGGAAGAGTTTGAGAAGGATAGGTGTTAGCTCTTCTCTGAATCTTTGATAGAATTGTCCTGTGAAGCCATCTGGTCCTGGGCTTTTGTCTGTTGGAAGGTTTCTAATCACAGTCTCAAATTCAGTGCTTGTGCTTGGTCTGTTTATATTTCTTCCTGGTTCAGTCTCAGAAGGTTGTGCTTTTCTAAGAATTTGTCCATTTCTTCCAGGTTGTCCATTTTATTGGCATATAGTTGCTTGTAGTATTCTGTCATGATCCTTTGTATTTCTGCAGTGTCAGTTGTTACTTCTCCTTTTTCATTTCTAATTCTATTGATTTGAGTCTTCTCCCTTTTTTTCTTGATGAGTCTGGCTAATGGTTTATCAATTTTGTTTATCTTCTCAAAGAACCAGCTTTTAGTTTTATTGATCTTTGCTATTGTCTTCTTCATTACTTTTTCATTTATTTCTGATCTGATCTTTATGATTTCTTTCCATCTGCTAACTTTGGGGTTTTTTTTTTCTTCTTTCTCTAATTGCTTTAGGTGTAAGTTTAGGTTGTTTATTTGAGATGTTTCTTGTTCCTTGAGGTAGGATTGTACTGCTATAAAGTTCCCTCTTAGAACTGCTTTTGCTACATCCCATAGGTTTGGGGTCATCATGTTTTCATTGTCATTTGTTTCTAGATATTTTTGATTTCCTCATTGATTTCTTCAGTGATCTCCTGGTTATTTAGTAGCACATTATTTAGCCTCCATGTGTTTGTACTTTTTACAGTTTTTCCTATAATTGATATCTAGTCTCATAGTGTGGTTGGAAAAAATACTTGATATGATTTCAATTTTCTTAAATTTACCAAGGCTTGATTTGTGACCCAAGATATGGTCTATCCTGGAGAATGTTCCATGAGCAGCTGAAAGTGTATTCTGTTGTTTTTGGATGGAATGTCCTATATATATCAATTAAGTCCATCATGTTTAGTGTATAAATTAAAGCTTGTGTTTCCTTATTTATTTTCATTTTGGATGATCTGTCCATTGGTGAAAGTGGGGTGTTAAAGTCCCCTACTATGAATGTGTTACTGTTGATTTCCCCTTTTATGGCTGTTAGTATTTGCCTTATGTATTGAGGCGCTCCTATGTTGGGTGCATAAATATTTACAATTGTTATATCTTCTTTTTGGATTGATCCCTTGATCATTATGTAGTGTCCTTCTTGTCTCTTGTAATAGTCTTTATTTTAAAGTCTATTTTGCCTGATATGAGAATTGCTATTCCAGCTTTCTTTTGATTTCCCTGTGCATGGAATATCTTTTTCCATCCCCTTACTTTCATTCTGTATGTGTCCCTAGGTCTGAAGTGGGTCTCTTGTAGACAGAAAATGTATGGGTCTTGTTTCTGTATCCATTCAGCCAGTCTATGCCTTTTGGTTGGAGCATTTAATCCATTTACATTTAAGGTAACTATTGATATGTATGTTCCTATTACCATTTTCTTAATTGTTTGGGGTTTATTTTTGTAGGTCGTTTTCTTCTCTTGTGTTTCCTGCCTAAAGAAGTTCCTTTAGCATTTGTTGTAAAGCTGGTTTGGTGGGGATGAATTCTCTTAGCTTTTGCTTGTCTGTAAAGGTTTTAATTTCTCCATTG